GCATAAACTATTGAAGGGACAATTGCATTTCTGAGTTTTCAATGTTTTATCTTTGCTTTTTCATATATTTTTATCATTTGCCTAAGACAATCATTCCAAAGGGTATAGGAGCAAGGGAGAAAAACTTAGTAAGAATTATATCTATGTGTATGCAAAGTAGTAAAAGATTATCTCACTCAACCTTGGCAGCAGAAAGAGGGAGGACCTTCCAAAAAACAAATTACTTAGGAGGACCACTATTTTAGACACGGCTCTACATTTACTACACAAACAATGTTTGTAAGCTTGTTTGATCGACCTCCAACAATGGTACATTAAGGAGTTATGCATTTTTCATCAAACATTGGATTTTCTCTTAATAGAAGAGACTGCTGCAAATCTTCTAAAGTGACTTGGTGGCTTTAGGCTAAGAAGAAATTTTTTTTCTCCCTGACATGAGAAGGTGAGACAAATTAACCATTTATACTCAAACTCCACTAATGACTATTCTTCCCATAAGGCACTCTGGAAGACAAAATGCCCAGAGTTAAGAACATCAAAACTACCATTTGGATAAATTCCCCAACATAAAGAATTTGCCATTATGACATTTCTGAGAAGGGACTAATATTGGTCCTTCTAGGGGTGGGGGATTTAGCTCAGTGGTGCCATTGTCTGCCTTGTAAGTGCAAAGTCCTGAGTTTGATCCCCAGCACTGCAAAAATTTTTTCTTTAAATGGTCCTTCCACGTGTCTCTTACTCCCAGATCAAGGACTGACTGCAGTGCTGGTGCATAATTTAGAAGCACATTCCTCTCCACTTTGTAACAGCAAAATCCCAAGAGGATACCACAAGGCTCAGGACTATCAGCCTTGTGGAGAGTCAATGCCTACCCACGATGCTGTCACTTTTACACTTTCTGCAGATGTTTGCTAGGCTTTTGTCATACATGAAATCTGAACAGTAGATGACATTCTGTTTCCCCAGCTCTATCACACATCCTCAGAGCCATTAGCTAACGTTGTGGGAAACTATTTGATTCTTTCTCCACATTTGAATCTACTCATGGAATTAGTGAGAGAATATTATTATCTTGGGAGGACACACAAAATCCACAGGACTCTGAGCTGCTCTAGTTTTGTACCATCCTCCATTGCCTGTGATTTAAATTTCATGTCTGAATATCTATTCAAAAGAAACACAAATTGCTCCCAATCTATAGGTATTTCAAAGTAGAGTTAACAGCCAACAACCCACTGCTTAAGAACACAGACTGTTCCTCAGGCTGAATTACAGTTCAAATACTGGCACCTCTCATTTCCTAGCTGTGTGACCTTCATATGGATGTAAAGTACTTGCCAGACTGTCTGGTGCATAATAAATGCTAAATAACCAGCCACTGTCATTTCTCCTTTGAAAATTGTAAAGCACTCCACCAATATTCACTTCTATTACCCAAAGATATACACAAAATAAGATATCCAATAATAGAATACTTATCAAATGCATTCTTGGAGCCCAGTGTCATATCCTCTCTTGTCACCAAAGCAAGCTTACCCTCCCCAGACAGAATAATCATAACTGTCACACGCTTACAGGGGCAGAAGGCTTAATTCTTTTCAATCTTTGAAGACTCAGTCAGCTGTATCAGTTAATAATCTCACTAGAGGTTATCCATTAGAAAGAAGGAAAGAATGTCCTAATTACTACAGTCAGAGATATCATTAGTTATGTCCACAGCTCCTATAAAGCCTACCTGGCATTTATGGAAATGGCATACACCAGGGGAAAATGTTACCAAATCAGACAAGGATTTAACCTAAATATTAAATAGCTCCCCACCACTGATGAATCTATTTCACAGGTAATCTATCTTCAGAGAAACCTTTTCTCTCTGATTTTGTTCAGTCCTGACATTTTATTTGCTCAAGCTATAAAATTTTTATTTGGATTCCATGGGCATTTCAATAAATCAAAGTTGCCTTTACCTCCTCCTCCTGTTAAATAGAAAGATCATGTAGAATAGTTCCTAGACTAAGTGATTTAACCTCATTCCTGTTTAATTTTTCAGAAGCAAATATCATTTTTAATCCTCTTATTGAAAGTCTAGGATCTTCTTTTTAAATAAGAATACTATCATTGGATTCTTCAATTTCATTATTAGCTAGGATTTGTTTAATCTTAGAGAAATCTCTAAACATATTATTTCCTTTGCAGGAATTGAATACAATTTCTACACACTCGAGTATGACCTGGTTCAATTCCTCAGTTTTACAAATTCTAGCAGTTAGTAATATGTAAATAAATTCATGATATGAATTTTTTAAAGATACTATATAGGATTTGTTATAAAAAATGTACTATGCCATGGTTGTACAGATATAAATGAAACCTGCATAACGTGGCTTTATCCCTCCTGAACAGTATGCCCAGACCAACATTTAAAGATATCTACCATATCTCGTTTTTAAAAGATTTTCTGTATCTACAAAATATTTATATAAAATGAGTAGAGGATTTTTATAGGAAGCATCTGGTTTAAATAATTTATTACCAGAATGAGTTATGCAGGAAAACCAAGATTAAATCTGCATATCCTTCCTATGTAATGGGAATCCAGTCTTCTCTCTGAGGACTCATTCAATTCTCTTTTACATATAATTTTTCTTTTAAATACAATTTTTGGCAGAATGGGTGGTAAAAACATTTTAATATCTAGTGATATTAGCAATACAAGGACTTACGAGCTTTTCCTTAGGTCATGACCAGTACTACATTATAAGACAAAGGACTGTCATTTCTAGAGATTACTATAAAGTTAGTGTGGAAATTCCTTATGCATAGAGCAAGGAGATAAAATTTACATACTATTCTAAATTTTAAAAGCCTGTAATTTAGGCCAATATTTATACTCAATGGGTATTTTAATCTCAGAAAATGAGATGACGATGGATCCTTCACCTGTAACCCATCAGACAAGTGAAAATTCTCAAAGTCTTATTTCATCCTGATAATATCACCCCCAAACAGTTATCTCATCATTAATTTTCTAGCAACTTGGCTAAAAATGTTTATTCAAAATAAAAGCACACCACAAAGAAAAAAGATTAAAGCTAGGTTTGATGTGAATCAAAATATCTTCCCCAATTCTAACATTTAAATAGTTAAAATTAGCTGGGTAGAAAAGACCCTTATTTTAAGGGCCTTTCAGTTAGATTTGGACAATCTAATTGGACAGAATGGCCATTCAGATTACTGTTTTTCTTTTTTTCCCCCCGACAATATCTGATTTTCCTCCCAGATATTAACTAAAAGTACCATGGTCTATTAATTATCAAATCATTAGGAAGACCATAAAGATAGGTTTTCCACAATTGCTGGCCAAGTTAACTAACACATACCCACTCCTCTCCTCAGCAAGGCAAACAGAAGGCACTGATGGGCTGACACTGAAAGCAAGCACAGGTCCCCAAAACAGGTGTTACTGTTGACAGAGCCATTAACCATCCTGCTTCTCCACAGCTGCAGAAAGAATCTGTACTTCCTTGTTTTCATTTTTAATAAGACATCCTATGTTTCACAAAAATGATTCCCAGGAAAATTTCTAGACCACGTAACCTGTAGCGGAGAAGAAAGCAAATCTGGAGGGGTTCGTCCACGGCTCCTAGGGTAAAGCTCCAAAGGGTAAAGCCAAACTGGACATCCAGAATCCAAGAGGGTGAAAGACAGATGAGGTCTTAGAAACCAGTGAGCTTGGGGGTCTCATTCCTTACTATCTCTCAGGCTCACTGGGACACCAGAGAGGGCTGCATGTTCCTGGACCCACCACAGAGGTGCTGATTCAGAAGGAGCAGGCAGCAGAAATGGCAACAGGAACACAGAACACGTCCCAACACACTTGCTGTGTATTGGGTACTATGCTAAGTTCTTCACAAATGTCACCTTTCATCACCTCAAAACCACCCATTTTACAGATGAGTAACACCAGACACAGAGTGGTGATTCAGGAAGCTGTTGAAGGACATCCTGCTAGGAGTGGAGGGAGGAGGATTCAATCAGGCAGGCTGACTTCAAAGTCTTCACTAACGATCACTACCCTAAACCATCCCTCAACAGAGTTAGGGTTAGGTCTAGGGCATTAAGGAAACAGCATGGTTGAAGTCAACCCTTTCTCTTGTGCATAGAAAAACTGAAACCCAAAGAAATGCAGTCTTTCATCCAAGATAAAACACTTCAGTGCCCTTCCAGAAAGCAATCAACCATTACATGGCACCAACTATTCTTAAATATTCAATATTTTTCTGTATGTTCCTCTAGGGAGGAATGGGACAAACTGCACTATCAAAAAGCCATTTTCTGGGTTTCTGCTGTGTTTCTTTGAAGAAGGTGTTGTTCTAGGTCAGAGATTCCACCCTTCCCTTCCCCACCCACCATTAACTCACAAAATATGGCACACCCCAGTCAGCAGAAGGGATTCCCAGTCATGCTGATTTTTAAGGGAAAGAAGGGGAGACAAGAGGGAGAGACACCATCCCTAAAAGACAGGTGGTGACTGGAATGAGGGAAATAAGGGTCTTATAATTTGAGAAAGAAGATGTGATTCTGATGCACCGCTGAAGGATACTCCCCCTAAACTGACCATGCTAAAATCTCAGTATATATCCTAACATGACTAGCTCTTTGCTTTGTAGCTACCTATACAGGCAGGCAGAACATCCGGAATGATTAGATTCACTCCCAGCTGGAACTAATCCCTTATAGTCTCTTAAAAGGTTACAAACATGCTTCCTAATCACATCTCATATGCAGAATCAGGCCAACTTCATTACAGATTTATTGAAACCGGACCTCTTTGCTGTTAAACTATCATGGTAATTTTAGAGGGCCGTAAGCAAGGATAATAACCATCTAGTCCCAGTAACAGATGATCACAATGCAGAGGCAGTTTCAAGATAACAAGGGTCAGGGTCAGATTGTCTTCCTGTCCCAATGACGCACACTGGTGGCCACGTCAAACCAACCTTCATCACTTCCACCTGCAGGTCTTCATTGAGCGAAGGCGTCACTTTCACAGCATTCAGGACCTGATTGAGCAGCTGCTTCTCATCAGAGTCTGTTTCCATGGATACAAACCTCTCTTCAGAGAGCAGCTTCTGCAAAGAGGCACAAGGCAGTGATCACAGATAGGCTCTCCCCTGCTGCCTGATGCTGTTCTAGCTTATTATGTATTGATGATCACTTTTCTCACCTGGGATGCATGTGGCTGGAAGCTGTTAGGAAAGAACTCATGCTACCTGCCATTAAAAACAAAAATGCATCCAACCTTGGACAGATGGTTTTTGACAAAGACTTTTTTATGATACTAGATAATTCATTCTAAATTCCAGCAAGTGAAATTCTGATGTGCTGGCCACCTCAGTGATTCGGGTGGTGGGGATGGAAGATGGCTGTTCCAAGAGCCCCACACAATAATCACCCACACAACGATCACACAATAATCATAAAGGGAAAGGGCAGATCACAAGTCCATTTTTTGAGTGTTTATATTTTTACTTCCTAATGTGAGCTGAATGTATGAACATTCATGAACATTCATGATTCCACAAATCTTAGTACATATCCTGATAGAAAAGGGATCTACAAAAACCTAAACAAGAAGGTAGGTGCTGCCTTGCGTGAGGACTCCCAAGACACACCACACACACATACACACACACACAGGACAGCCTTCTGCTATTTCAGGGCAACTCTTATTTTTCATATAATTTTCCCCCAGGTTGTACCAAGCCCACTATCGGACAACTCTACCCCCTCATCTTTTCCTAGAGCCACAGGGATTAAGGATCTAGCAAATGTGATGCCAGCCATTGAGTTCACTCAACTCTTTTCTTCCCATACTAGGCCACTTGAGCCTCCCACAGAGCTGTCACTATGCCCTCCTGCTCAGAATGAGGCCACCAAGCGAATGCGGCATTTACAGGGTGGCTTGATCTTAAAAAGTGATGCATAACTTGAGTCACATTCTCAGGTCACTGCAAATTCTATGCTGACTCACCCTGGAACCCCAATTCTCACTCACAAGGCTGCAATTATGCTGTTCTCCCCCATTCTGAATTGGTACAGATTTTTTTGAGACCCCAGTTTAGGGCTTCATATTTATTCCCGTCTAATTTGTTCTTCTACTGCACAGCTTAGAGGTGCAACATGGGAGGAAATTTTTGCATTTTTTTCATCCAATGCGATGAGGCACCTTTTCACTTTCACGGCTCTGGGGACCTAGCATCAAGTATTTCTGACCTTCTCAACTAAGACTCCATGACACTGTGCCTAGTTATTTCAAAAGGGATTTGTTTTTGAGAATCAAGCAGTATACCCAGGATGCCCCAGAGCTAAAGTTTATTTCAAAGCTGTTCTTAGTTAAAGTGATAAAGAATAGGAAGCCCTGGAAATGTGCTAAAGTTAGGCAATAGATGGCAGGAAATAGATAGTAAAGGAAGACTCAAAACCCACTGAGTCACTGGAGTTCACACTCAGAATGTCCCAGAATTTTTTAAAAAGCCAAAACAAAATGAGAAATCTACACAACAAATTCGGATTCATTCTTATGGGTGGCCCAATTACCTTAGAGGAAATCAAAAGGTTTTTCATAACATTATTAACAAGATTTAAAAATTTCAAATGCAGTTACATGTTAAAATATACATTATCTAAATTAAATTCACCGAACGTAACCATTCTTTCATATGTATTAACTTCTGCAAGGCATTAGGGACTTGACTGAACTTAAAAAACTAATTATAAAATTTTCCTTACTGATAGAAAAGATATGAATGAATGCCACCCATACGTAGTCACAGGCCCCTGCAAGCTTGGATTTCACTGCGCTTGTCTGTAGAAACCAAGCCACTCTAAAAGCTCAATGTATTTTTACAGTCATCACCTTTTCACTGTTGGAATTGGACTCATAATGTTTGGTGTAAAACACAAATGCTCAGAGAAAGAAATGTGTCCAAGCAATCTGACTTTTCTTATTAAAGAAAATTTCTTTTTTTCTTCCCAATATTCCTCTAGAAACAAAATATATTAGTCCATTCTCTAGTTGAGCTGAGTAATACAGTGAAATATTTCCAGTTTACTATCAAATCTCACCACGCAGAACTTCATATGTTGAATGCACACAAGATCTGAATTGGGATGAATTTGGGGTTACTCTTTCTTGGGTTCCCTCATTCTCCAAAAAATCAGACTCCACAAAAGAAGATTTAATATCTTTGTGAGCTTAGCTGGTTCTCCAAGAATCAAGGTTTGATTACAAAGATCGACCAAATAATGCTGTACACAGAGAAAGTCTGGTGAATAAAGGAAAATTCTGTGATCTTCCATGGTTATTTTCTGGTTCCACCACATCTTTGCCAAGATTTTTAAACCGCAAGTATGTAAAATGTTAATGATTTGCTCTTTCAGTGCCCAAGTGGCCTGTTAATTTCTGTCACCCTCGTACATTCAGCCAAAGCTATACCTGCATCCCTGCCAAAGCATGTTGAGCCAGCTTCACATTCTTGGATTCCAAAGCCAACTGGAGAGGCAGCAGGCACTTCTCTCTGGAAAACACAGAAATAAGGACAACATGTGAGCTCAGTAATGCTGGCAGTCAAATGATACAAGCCTTATGTATACCCACCTCCAACACTGCCTCTCATATACACAAAAACTATACCGAATAATGAGAAGCCAAGTGGGCTTAAAAACACAGCAAGCGAAAGAAATTTGTGCAGGAATAATACCATACCTGGAGCTTGCCTCCTTAGTATGGCTACAAGAAGAGCAAATACAATTACTTTCACTAATTAGTATGCGGTATACTAATTAATTCACAGCTGGACCCAGAACATGCTTTGTTCTTTCCCAGGTTAATGCACTGCTTGGACCCAGGACACCTAGGGTGAGCAACTCTAAGGGACACCATGTGTACAGATTTCTGTGCCTTGCTCAGAGCTCTTTCCTTACCTAGGAAGGAACCACATCACCACCAGCACTCTGCCTCATCGACACAAATTAAAATCCTATTACTTTGGTGATTCCTCCCCGACTCAAAGTATTCTACAATCATTTATAATTTTTAAATTTCCTCTGCAGTTTCCATCAAGAAATAGATATGAATTTTGTATCAGGTTCATAATAATCACATTGCCAGGACAGGAATACAATCAATTAGCAACACAGTTGGCCAAGGAGAAACAAACAAACAAGCAAAAGAATCCCATAAAACAAGCAGGACTACTTAGATAATTTAAAGCTAAAAACAAAAACATAAAAGGTATTAAAATATGCTAGGAATAAACCAAAGGAGCTACAAAGGCAAAAAATATCTTTCTGTTAGAAGCATTCATGCTAAATAATTAAACAATAGAATTTAATCAAGAATTTTAATCAACCCACTATTTCCCCACAGACTTACATTGGCACAACAAATGAAATGTTACTTCATTTTACCAGCCCCCAAAAAACCAGAGCAGCCCCATTTTTAATCTGTGTATATATGTGGAGAAACTGAAAGATTTATTGATTTTTGAGAGTATAAAAGCCACAAGGTTAGATGCTAGGATTTCATCTTTGGAGAAATAAGGGTCACTGTTGTAGAACACAGTGAAACAGAAAGTTAATTATAGCTCTGATTCCTCCCTGCAGCTCTGCTGCTATTCTGTGGAATCTTCCATGAACACCACCGGAGAGCCAAAGGGACAGTCACAGTTACTCCCTAATACTGGCCACAAAGACAGAAGTGAGAACAGACCTTTGGGAAGAACTCTCCCTTCCTAATTGCTCTCTCCTTTCCCTCCCCAACCCAAAGTGTGGTTTCCATTTTTATATGGCAATTAACACCACAGCCATCTTTCATTAGATCTGACAGATAGACAAGTGACCCAACTGTGTTACTTACAGTTGGGTGGCTATAACTGTCACTGTTCTCAGCTTGTCACACTTGCAGGGCAAATACTGCTGTGCCGTCAAAGCAGGAAGAGCTAGTTTTTCCAACTTTGATTCTTTTGTTCCATCCTAACTAGCTTACAAGGTTGCAAAAATTAATTGGAAGGGGGAAAGAAGAGCAAAAAGTAGGAATAAGGAACAGATGGGGTACTACCAGAAGCAGCCTAAAACTTCATCTGTAAACCCATGAAACAAATATCCATCAGGGCTAGTTCACTGCCAAAGGACTTTCATCTCCAATTTGGAGTCAGATCTGCCAGCGAGGCCACAGCACCAGGGAGCAAGACTGGAAGCGCCTGATCCTCATAGAGCGATAGCAAGGGAAACCCATCATGTAGCTCTGGGCTGGAAATGCGCAAGTATTACATGTTCCTCACCACGGTATCCAGCAAGGAAGGATGCAACATTCCTGAGCAACAAGGACCTTTTTGATAATGTCCAACCTGTTACCCCTTGGGAGGCAGTGTCATGTTTGCATGTAAATTACCCAATATCCACGCTTTCTGCCATCTGGAGTAAGTAGCATCCTTTGAAATCCCACTTTATCATCATGTGATTGCCACTGCTGGCCTGAGGCAGGCTGCACCATGTCTCCAGGGGCTTTATCACACTACTCCCCATGCCAAGCACGGCCACCAAGTAGACAGAGTTGTTCGGCTCGGTTTTGGCTGAGTTGAAAGGTATCAGTGTTAGTGGAAAGACCATGCATGTGGAATCATGCAGACCTGGGATCAAACCCTAACCATTTCCTGTGAGATCCCAACCAAGGTACTTAACTCTGGTAAGTCTGAGGCTCCATCTATAAAAAAAAAGCTGACTCAAGACCAATCCTGAAGAGCTATAGTAAGGAGTACATAGAATATAGATGAGGGCTTTGCAAACCTTTTGTGTAAAAAGCCAGGTAATAAATACTTCAGGCTATACAGGTCATTAGGTCTCTGTCCTTAGTTAACTCTGCTGAGACACAAAATAGTCATAGACAAAAAGGAAATCAACAGACATGGTTAGGTTCCAATAGAGGTTTATTTACAAAAATAGGCAAAAGGCCACTACAGGCTACAGTTTTTCCAGGCCTGATATAGATAAAACGCACAACACATTGTGATTTTCAGCAGAGAGTAAGTGGATGTAGTCTTTTCATGTGTTCAGAAAGATTCTGCACAGGACACTGGGCTGTCTTAGCAGAACCAATCATAACATCAAGCTCTCTCTTAAAATTAAGTGGCATGAAGATGCATGGCTACAGACAGATCTCATCCAGACATTACAGCAGGGCACTCCATTCACCCATCCACCCATCCAAGCAACATCTGAGAGTTCGCTGTGTGCCAGGCACCTCGTTGGTACTGGGGAAGATCCAGCAAGGTACGTGACAGAACAGGCAGGGGCTTTCATTTGTATTCATGGAATAAAACAGAGAAAGGAGAAAGTCAGTGTGTATTATTTCTGTGTCTAGCCTTACCTGTCACTGCGACCCTAAAACACACATTCCTGTCCTTGTTTCACATTTGAGAAAGTGAGGGTTCAGTGCAGTTCTGTAGCCTGCTCAAGACCACATGGCTATGATGGACGGAGACAAAATTCAATTCCTGAATTCAATTCTGAATTCCTCCAACACCCCAAACCAAGCTCCTCCCACCCTCTGGTCTCAAAAGTTCAGAGCAAAGCTAGAATAGACAGATGCGATTCTTACACTTTTTTAGACCCAAAAAGTCTGACAAAAGACTATGTCTGAAGGAGAGCACACACGCTTTTCAGGGGACCACTAGGCCTCTAAACACTAATTCCACACGCATCCCAGATTGAGAGTCCCTGCCCTTGGGGACAAGGACTGTCTTCAGCCCAGCAGAAACTTCGGTGTCTGTGCTGAGTAGAGAGGGCTATGCTCCCTGGCTTGGCTGGGCAGTTTTGCTAAGGTGGAACTGAAATGATACTGCACTGACCCTGTGTTCGTGTGTGAGTGTGTGGGTGTACACATACAAGTGTGCACACAGGTGAGGGGGACAGTCCCCCAGAGCACAGTCACCAGCCTCAGATGCCGGCTTGGACTGAAAAGGAACACGTGCAGAAATGAATGCAATGCATGGGGCAGAACTGATTTCCTTGTTTGCCCTGTGATATCATAAAAACCCTTTTGCCTTCATTTTTTAAAAGGTGATTTGCATGAAAGAATAACAGGCCTGTTAACTGGGTCCCAGGGTGGCATTTTTAATGACACTACAACACGGCACACACTCAGTCCCCCCTACACACACACACATACTGTATACGAATAACTCATCCTTTGATCTTTCTAGATGTTGCTTCCTTGGGAAAAGGGCATAGGAAAAAGCAACATTCAATTACGTGTATGCACAGGCACGTGGACATCCATTCCTGCCTAATTAAATAAAGACAGTGGCTCCAGCTTTCATGTCCTGACATCTCATTATTTCCTAAGGAAGAATAATTAGCAGTGCTGCATATGCATGAGGAAGACATTATCCTGTGACCCCAGGTCTGATCATGTCACAGAGACTGAGCCCATTTCCTTAAATGCATCGTCACAGTTCACAGACCAGCTTTATTGGGCTGGGAGATAACAAAGAACAAGGGGAAATTAAAATTGGTGAATAAGGGAAGAGTTAAGAGTTGCCAGTAGGTACCTTACTAACATGAGCCCTAATATAAACTTCAAGTGAAATCAAAGATATTTCTGAATGTTAGGCTGATTCTTTCTTGATACACTAGACAGGAAGGAGCAGGAAGATATCATACATTTGTTAAGATCTACAATTCTAGGACTCTAAGATTAAATCACTGCCTGATAATAACATAATTTCCATGACTGGTTGAAATCAGTGGCTTGTATGTGCAATGTGCCAAATTACACACATTTGTATTTACTGTTTAAATACAACTTTTGAAGGGAGAGATGTACTATGGTTTCAACATGGTTTGTTCTTACCAAAGCACATGTTAAGACTTGGTCCCTGGGTCTAGCTGGAAGTGCCTGGGTCAAATGGATTGATGGCATCTCTCAGGAGGGAGTTCTTGCTCTCTTGGGACTGGGCTAGTTACGGTAAGAGTGGGTTTGATAATACTAGTTCCACATCCTGGTCCCTCTTCTGTAATTACCCACTTTTCCTGTGCTTGCCTGCCTTCACCAGAAGCCAAGGAGACTCTGGCACCAGGATCCTGGTCTGCCCAGCCTCCAGAGTCATGAGCCAACATAAACCTCTTTTCTTTATACATTACTCAGTCTCAGGGATTCTTTTTATATCGATAGAAAATGGACTAAGATTCACTTGTCAACAAAACTGAAACTAAGGGAAATTAGCTTACTTGCTCAAGGTCACATATTTCTAACTGACAGAGCTGTGCTTTAGGTAGAGACTATCTGTTTTTAAAACTCGGCCTCCCCGGTACCAAAAAAAACCCTCAGGTCCTTGAGCCTACACCACATGCTTTTGCCAGTGGGTGGCTCCATCAAAAATGGCGGATGGCAGGCCACTTTAACCCCAGGTGAGAAGTAGGGATGGGCAACAGGTGCCTCTTTGATCAGGTAATGCACATTATCTTATTGTGAGCGGTAAGTTATGAACCAATGAGTTACATCTGGTGGTGTGGCATT